CTTTGTGGTTAATGGCAAACATACATGTGTTACAGCATTGTAGTTAAATCCAGTTTATATTTCATAGACGGTCCAACAGCGCCCCCTGCTGGTCGCCAGTGGCAACGACACCCTGCAATGACATCACTGCGTCCTCCGTTGCTAGGTTATTCTCCCGGAAGGACCAAGCCCATAAGGACGTCGTTTAATGCTCTTGAGACATTTCTTGTTTGGAAATGTCCCTTTAATTGTAATTAAACCGCAAACCTGATGTCACATTATATGTACATGTAGATGTTATAACGTGTGAACAACTGAGGCTCTTATTGTGAAGAGTTGTTTGACCGTGGCAGGCGTTTCGTCACTGTGTCCAGCTTCACGACGCCTGAATCAATGCGTGCAGCTTGTTAGCCGTAAAACCGCGAACATGGGGAGCAGTTTTTGTTTGTTCGTGTGTTTGTTGGTCGTTGAGCTTCAGCTATGAACCATGCAAATAAACTACCCCCCCCGCTATGAGTCCAAATAACGACAGTGTGGTGAGATTGCATCACTGACTGGGTGATGTCCGCCCAGCCTCTGCAGCAGTCCAGGGAGGATTCAGCAGCCTGCTAACTGAGCCCGCCCGGCTAGCTGATGCTGATGACTGGCTGTTTCCTGACATTGATTTGCAGGTAGGTGCATGGTGTCTGCATGCATTGTGCCATATTGACTCCTCTGTTTGTTTATCTGCTTTTCTCATATGTGTGTTTTACCTGTTGTTTTGTGCTCCACCCTAGTGGGAGGCACCATGGCCGGTAAGGTGAAGTGGGTGACAGATATTGAGAAATCAGTGCTCATCAACAACTTTGAGAAGAGGGAATGGATTCAAGTCACAGAAAACGAGGACTGGAATTTCTACTGGTAGGTTTCTACATTAACACCTGCACCTTCAGCCCACTGCACTCTGCAAGCACCACAAACTGCAGTAGGAAAAGTACTTATATTCTCCTATACTCATACCAAAATGTAAAATATTACATATCCTGCTAAAAAATCAGTCCCAGTGCTTCCCAATCTGGGGGCTGGAGCATCTCCAAACAGTCTCAAGATAAATCTGTGGGGTTGTGAGATGATTAACGAGGTAGGAAAAGAAAACCAATCTTAGCTCTTTTCCTGAAACATTAGATTATTTTACCCTTTTTTGCCTCAAACTGTTATTTAAATAAAACCTACTGACACGTTCAGAGAGGAAATACTGCTTTGGTGGAACTGCTGACAAATCATACACATCTGAAATGTGACAAGAAAACTCCAAATAGACAAAAAGGTTGGAAACCACTGGTTTAATCTTTAGAAATGGATTATGTTTCATAAGATTATAACATGTTTTAATGCAAAATATAAATCTAAAAAGGTAACTACTGACTCAAGCTGTCAAATAAATGTAGAGGAGTAAAAAGCACAAGTATAAAGTAGCACAAAATGTAAATATTCTGGTAAAGTATGATCACCTTATCTCCTGTACTCAGTAACTCTCAGTCACTATGAAAAGGGGGCAAGTGAATCCTATTTATGTCAATTAATGAGTAATTATCATATCACCAAGCTTATTTTCAGACTCCTTAGGCCGCCATAAAGCAAGTTCATTTGCACCCACGTGTAGGATGAGCATCCAGACCATCAGAAATGTCTTCAGCGTGGACACCGGCTACCGCCTGTCAGATGACCAGATGGTTAACCACTTCCCCAACCACTACGAGCTGACCAGGAAGGACCTGATGATCAAGAACATCAAACGCTACCGCAAGGATCTGGAGAAGGAAGGGAGTCCGCTGGCAGAGAAGGACGAGAACGGGAAATACATTTATTTAGGTATTGATTACTGCTGGAAGGGAGGGGTGTAGAAATGCACACATACTTGATTGTTCTCCTCACAAAACACAGAGAAGCAGAACATTTTTAACTATTTGCTGTGTGCTTTGTGCAGATTTTGTCCCCGTGACGTTCATGCTCCCCGCCGACTATAATCTCTTTGTGGAGGAGTACCGCAAGAACCCATCCAGCACTTGGATCATGAAGCCCTGCGGGAAGGCTCAGGGCAAAGGCATCTTCCTCATCAACAAGCTGTCCCAGATCAAAAAGTGGTCCAGAGACAGTCGCACCTCAACGTGAGTTACCGGGGTCGTCGTCCCCACACACAGCCAGTAAACACTTCCCTGTGAGGAGGATGCACTTTACGTAGATTAACATGATGTCGTATATTCTCTGTCTTCTTTCTCTTTTAGTCTGATTTGAGAAAACAATTAATTCCCAATACATTGTCCTATATGATGAAAAAGGGGGAAATATTTTGAATTGCACTTGACAACCTGTATAATCTTCTCTATAAGCATTTGATTTCCAGGTAAACGCCCAAAACTGTTAATGATTGTTTTTGTAAAAACATGGATTTGGTCATAGGTTTGTGGTGTGCTGACGTTTTGCTTCTTTCTTTTTGCTCTCAGGTTTGTAGCAGCATCTAGTGGCAAAGAGGCTTACGTCATCTCCCTGTACATCGACAACCCCCTGCTGATCGGAGGGAAGAAGTTTGACCTGCGTCTCTACGTTCTGGTGACCACATATCGGCCTCTGAAATGCTACATGTAAGCCCTGAATTTTGAAGTTTTGTTGGCGCCAGTTATGATTTATTACCTGCCTATGTTTTATTACAGCATTCAGCATTTTCACAGACAAAATGATGAATTGTTTAATTGAGAAAAATGGCTGTGAGCTGAATCCATAATGTCAACTCTCTCTCTCTCTC